AGTAAATCTGAAGTGGTTCCAGAGTGTGCCCAATCCAAGTTGAAGTGGGTTGAGAAATAGCTCAACCCAACCCATTAACAACCCTTTGGCTACTTAGTAAATTTCTTTGTTTAATTTTTTATTTTTTAGGCCTAACAATTTTTTCAAAAACAGTTAAGCCTAACTAATATTAAATTAACCATTTTTTACTTAAGGAATGCTAGTTTATTAAATTTTACAATATAGCCTTTTAAAGTTTATATTTTCTTATGATTTATAATTTATTATAGATTTTATAATATAAAAATCAGTTTTTCACAAAACTTATTTTTTGTCAATTTTGTTTCTTTTTTTCAGTACCTAGCTCATATATAACTCTAATCGCTAATTCATCAAATAATTATTTCATGTTTATTAGAAGCCTTATTGGCGTCTTCTTTTCCTTTAGTGACATTCAAAGACAAAAGAATAGGTATAGGAAATAGAACAAGGAAAAATAGTAATACAAATCCAAATCGAATTTCGCGCATAATATCTATAAGAAAAAAAAAGTTTTAGATATGCTATGGAATATCACAAAAAACAACAAAATTCGACATACCAGTAATGATGGCAACCAAAGTCGGACCCAACCAACTTGAACCTTTATCAGTAACTGCATACAGAGCAAAAAATTCCGTTTCTCTACCGTGAGGAACCAATTCACTGAACAAAGTTCTACAATAGCTTTGAATAGAACCGATAACTATACCAAACCAAACAGCTAAATAATAAAGTTCTGTACCAGATTTCAAACCACCAAATGGCAAAACAAAACCCAAACAACCATAAACAGGAATACATAATAATAAAACATTTAATAATATAACAGTTTGCTTTGTTGTTAGTCTGAAATATGACTGAAATTTTGGCACTATGATCGTTCCAAATAGAGCAGATAGTGGAACTATTAAGGCAATGGCAATTAGACCCACAGCTGGAACTTGTAATGGGTTGGGTTGAGCTATTTCTCAACCCACTTCAACTTGGATTGGGCACACTCTGGAACCACTTCAGATTTACT